CAGAATGATTCAAAGATTAGTGACACAGCGACTGGAACACAAGAGCTACTCAACTACGAAAAGCCTCGTTAATATATGCATTTCATAATGAGATTGATAACACATTTTACATAAATGATATTAGTCTCTACGTTCACAGTTGCAAGAGTCATTAAACTTTTACCTCTCAACATTCGCAGGTGTGGACATTTGTGGATCGATTGTAAACACTTATGGAAGGGTGTGGGTGTGGGTATGGGAGTGAGGGTGTGAGTGTTATTATGACCCGCACGAAAACCCACACCCACACCCTAGACTTGTAAAGTATAATATAGTTTAATTTTCATAAATTTCTTGATAAAATAATAATATAACATTGATATACGTGGCTGATTCGACTGAAACAATATCATGAATGCCGATAGTTCTACTTCAGATCATTGTAAATAATTTTTAACATAATTTAATTTTAGGAATCACCACTAGTAAATGAAATTTTTGCGAAAAAAACTAGAAGTTTAGTTTTTACCATAAGAAGATGCAGTGAAATCTCCTCTTTCAGCATAGATATAGTGTTTCGCCAAACGATCAAACTTTAACTAACTTTTGAAGTAAATTTCGATCCTACTGTCGTATTTTTTTGAGAAAATATCTGGATTTTTCGAAAATTTTTCCAGTTTTGTGAAGACTTACCATATATTTGTATCGGCAGCGAATGAAACATTGTATTCTGTACGTCAGTATGATCGGTTGTGGTAGATGACTTTATTGCTTATGCGTTTTAAAAAAGTCTGCTCACACATATTATGAATATGTCACATTTCAATGTGGTTTTTTTTCTGGATTTGAATGATAAGATTGATTTCTAAACTTTTCTTTTCATTTGCTTAGTTTAAACCTACAACTATGCCGGTCCTAAAGGGACAGTTGAGCATTCAATTACACCGCAGAGTAGCAATGAAAAGGGTGAATTAAAGAGGATGCGTAGAAATAAAATAGAAAATGGATAAATATAATATTATAAAAACAGAAATCGATCCAAGGAAATACGACACAAATGGCGAGGAAAAGGAATAAGCAAAGAAAACAGAAGGACAAAAAATGAAAAAAACCACCAAGAAACAACGATGCACTGTGAGACTGAGCGAGAATAAGCGATACTAACAGAAACGCGTAGTAACGAGACAAACCAGCACGAACGAGTAGTGACGATAGAGAGACCAGCAAGTAAGAGTATGACGAGTAAGACCCGCGTGTATGGAAACTAACGAGTAGGAAAGCCAGTTCAAATGGTAGCGAGTAAGATCAGCAAGTTCAAGTAAAGCCAGCAGGAACGAGCAAGAACAAGTAGAATGAGACTATTATTATTTTTCATCCTTTTCTTTTCTTCTCAGTAATTTTTTGTTTGATTTCTTTTTGTTTTTTGTGTAACACAGTGTGATTATACTATACTATACCATCAGCTCGATCTCATTGACACGATTGTCTTGTAATTTGCATATTATATCATTTAATTTAATATTTTGTTTCATTCGTTGCTCCTCAAGTGGGAGCTTTAGGTTATTAATTGGTAGAATATTGGTAAGGAAACTTTGATGTAAGCGTTCACTTATATTTGGAACTCTAGATGTGTTTTCAGTAGACATTTTCTGAACACACTTGATTAAGTCTGGACTCACATACTTCTTTCCTACCTTGATCATTGATTTCTAAACGTTTTTATCGCTTTTCTCAGAAACATAGCTTTGAATCAGAAAAGTAGAAACTCTTTCCACTCGGTTCAACACATATGTATTTTTTTTTAAACTGTAAATATGAGTAAACTTTCCATGCACGAGATTTTTTTTTATAGTTGATTGCTGTCTTGAGAATGGCGATATTTTATGTCGTGGTGTGTCAATTTTTACTTATTTAATTTCACGTGTAATAAAATATTCATAAAAAATGAATGAAAATGAATTCGAAAATTATATCTGACAAAAAAATGTACTGTCGTATTTGTTTTAATTTGAAACTAGCTCGAATTCTGTGTCTCTTCTAGGATTGAAGTTATAAGGATTGTTCTGGAGGTTATAAATGAACCATATATAAGTTGAAAGTTCGGTATAGTTTGATGTATTGATCTGAAATTTATATTAGAAGCATTTCTCACCAGGACGACTTATTTCGGAAAATTTCAGTCGAAAAAGGCTATCTTTAGTGGTAAAGTTTTTCTTTTTTCGACGGATGGAAGGTTTAGTTTACATTCAACGGTAAATTTGAATAAAAGTAAAAAGAAAAAAACGAAAGAAAAAAAAACAAAGTGAAGTTTATATTATAGTCATGTTTAAGGATGTGGATGTGTGGGTATTGATGTGCATTAATGAATGTCTACATCACATTCACACTGACCCACATCTGCGCCGAAATCCACGCCCATACCCTCAACATTGATTAGAACTTTAGTCAAATTGACTTTTCTAGTACATTTCTCAAGAATTCTCTATATCATATGACTTTCTTGCTTTCGAGAAGCTAAAAAAGTTTGTGCAGATGAAAAAAGAAGTTTAACTGAAGAAACTAAATGAAAACTTGTCTTTCAACCTGAAGATCCGATTTCAATCGACTCAATTGGAAAATAGTCGATTTCAATTTAACACTCATGACGAACAGAAGATCAACCTCTATTAGAAGGGTATCCACAAGAAAAATTTCACGAGGTGTAATAGTAATTTATGGTTTTTTCAAAAGCTTTTTTCAGAAATTCTATGAATCATTTTAGATTTACGATTTAAAAACTTGGTTTCTGAGTGAAAGACCTTTTATTTTTTAATTAAAATTGCTTCATTTCTAATAACAGAGTTTTTCCTAGTAAAAAAATCTAGTATTCCGTAACATTTATTTGCCAGAAACCTCTAATATCATCTCAGAAAAGCATTCCGAAAATCCTGCATTTTTGAAGACAAATGCTAGAAAAGAGCTAGTCCAATATGGAAGATCACTTTTGGAAGTACAATGTCAATTTTCATAATAGAAGACCCTCACTTTTTTATTTCGGAAGAGGAAGGAGAAGAGAAGTTTAATATATGTGTATTTTGATTTACATGTGAAAGTATCAATTAGTATCATGCATTCAAGTACAGTTTGTGTCAAAGGATAGTCCAGTGTTATACTTACCATTTTTCGATGTCAAGAAACTAGAAAACAATGGAGTTTTTAAGTTAGACTTCTAGAAGAGTACACCTCACCCATATTATGATTAGACATGGAAAAAAATTGAATAATCTGATTAAAATAGCAATATTTTAATTAATTTTTAAACAGAAAAAATCCATTAAAATTAGATCTGTTTTCAATTTATTTACATTGATGCTGTTCTCTCTGGTATGTAATGCTTTTTAATAACAGATTGAATTTGATTGTGACATTCTTTCGACATGACATAAATAAAATATGGATACTAAATTTGAGAACAATCACATCACTTTTATGAAGTTTTTAGATCCTGTAATATGCAATCTCAAGTGAGAAGCTCTGTGACGGTCTCTGATTCACACCCACAAAGCAGAATACAAATATGATTAGGTCTTATTATATTAACTCTTCGGTTTGTCGACATAAGATGAAATAATCCATATTCCAGAGTATCGTCACAGTTGACGCCCTGATTTTGTCATTTGCACAAAACAAAAATATGATGTTGAAAGTTTTCGCTGTTCATTATTTACTCTTATGCAAAAGTATCTATAAAAACATTTATCATAAGTGACTACGTTAAGTTTAGACAAGCGCAAAGCTCATGACGGATATATACATCATCAGTAGCCAAAGAATTAAATATAAGAAACGATGTTTACACGCTCTTACAAGGCGCAAGCATAGATGTAGAATCGTCATCATTATATCATCTGAGCACTTTTCGATACTGGAGCTAGGGATTGATCTAGATCGAGCCTCTCAATCTTAATGATCGAATAGAGTGGAATGTTGCATCAATCTATTCCTGGTCAAATATGATAGGAACAAATCAAAATAGAGACTGAGACTCGATTTTGTTTCGAGCCTTGATACACACCTAAATGAAACTTTGTTTAATCGTATGAGAATCAAGGTAATCGACGCAGGAACTTGTAAACTGATTTATATTCAAAGGTGCTAAAGTACAACTATGGTTGAGACTAATACTATATCAATTCGATTTTTTCATGACTAGAAACATATTTCTCACAGTGTAGTCAAGTTATAGCTAATTTAGCCATTTTCTCAAAATAAGTCTTGTTGGTCGAAAGAATCATATTGGAATAATATTCTTCTCTGCCCTAACTGTCGTGTTAATTTCAATGTTATTTTCCAAAACTCCATGAGGGTCATGGCCTAACTTGATGCACTGGCGCTGCACAGTAACCAGTTTATCTAAGATTAAAGTAGTTTTATCAAGTTTCATATATTCATTCTCAAGAAATCTTACTCAAAGCTTCTTCTATAACAACAGAACCTATAAAAACGAAAATCGAGTAATTTTGTATGTGTATATCTTCTTTCTTTATTCGTTCATGACCGTTCCTTCGGTATTCGAATGGAAGAAGTCCGATGAATATATGCATGTAAGCTGTATACTACCGTCATCATTATCATCATATGGTTGTGTGATGATACGTCAGGGGATCAACTACCAAGCAAGACAAGAATTAAACTAAACAATCAATAATTGTTCGTTAAATATCGTCGAATATAGTCAACTTGTTACACTATAAAAATATCATACAAACACATACATTTTTATTATTTTAATGCTCGTATCTGTCATCTTGTAAGTGTTGCAGAATGTGAAGTCTTATATGCATTATCATTATCAATTAATAGTAATCTTTCTACAACAATCGATCTATTAGTTAGTTATTTTCATCGTTATACTGAAACAATGAATCATAATAAATGTGAAAAAAATTCTAATGAAGTACGATAAAAATTTCGTTTATTTATTATTGGAATTATTTTATCTGCACTGGTGATTATATTAATTACAATTGTAACATTAATGATTTTCAATTCAATAAAATTACGTTCATTAATACCAAATATTTTTTCTTAATAAGTTTATCAATTGTGGATTTTCTTAGTGATTATTCATTTTTTTTTGTCCATGTACAATGAATATTTTTATCGAGTATGCAGTTGTTAATTATAATTTGATATTATTAACATATTTGCATTTAATACGAAATAATAATTATATATATGTTTGATAGCTTATGCTTTTATTTTGTCTGATATGTTAATGCCAGTATCAATTTTACTATCGATATCAATTGATAAACATATTTATATATTTAAACATTATTCATATCAAAAAATAAATTACAAAACATCATTATTTATTAATAATCATGAGAAAATTCTAGGGTTAAACACAAATGTTTTATATGTTGCATCTCAAGATTTGAACCCCATAAGAGATTTAAATCAAAAATATTCTAAGATATGTGTTTGGAAGGCATTGAGGCCCTGAAAGTCCAATTGGAGAATTTTTTTTCGTATGATCAAAAATTAAACAAGCACCGGCACTCACTTCATCAAGACAAAAATTTGTTATCCTACATCTAAATACACAAATATTGATATTGTTGAACTCTGAGTAGAGATCGTCGGACAGATATCAGACTAGAGTTGTGTCGAACCAGTTTTAGTCTTGGGATCAAATAATAAAAATAAGGAAACAGAAGCTAAAACAAATGAATACATCGTAACAATCAAAACAAAATTCAGAACATATGATCAAAAATATGACGATCATGAGTCGAACCAATCGAAAAATGGATGTTTAACCAGAGTGGGTGGATGTGAGTGTTAATAGAAGGCTCACATTTACATCCACATATCTATAACCACACCCACACTCTTTATTATATGAGCAAATGATTATCCTAGCATGTCACTGGATATGTAATTCGATTCTTCAATTTCATTGATACGATTGCAAAAACTAGAAACAGATGTCAAAGGGGACGAAGAAGTTGACAAATAACAAAAACTATTTAGCATTAGCTGGAAGTTAATACTTGTCACATCGTTCAAAGCACAATTGTACACTAGTAATGGTCAAAGAATTCAGGCGGATAGCCAAAATCAGATTGTTGAGTTTTTATTGAAATTTAGATTGCATGTTACTGATTTTCTGGATGTTCAAGTTGAATTGACGGAACAATAACGCCGAAAGAACGTAGGATGTGCTAGAAATGAACTGTAGTTAAATTGTTTTGATTTTAGAATCCTTAGGAATTCGAAGATGTACGAATTCATTACTAAAATCAATAAAAATTTATAGATGTAAAAAATTGAATGGATTCCGGCAAAGATTTTTAGATAAATCAACACAGTTTGATTCTATAATATAGGAATAGATGCGTTCCTATCATCAAAACGAAGTGTTACTCACAATTCTAATAATTCAGAAGTCAAAATAATTCCCTGACATGTTTGGTGAATCTCGTTATTCTGTCATTCACACTTCTTTATTACATAACTACTATGGATTCATTTTTGAATTCAAAACAGTGCAAAATCTATATCAATTTATCTTCGTAAAAAAGTTTACTGAACTAATTGATCATGTATTAGAACTTTTCATTTGTCACTATTAGACATTGTATTATAAGCATCAATTCTTAAATAATCATAGATGCACTTAAATAGAATATTTTTGAAGTAAGAAGACATAAAATGATAGCTTCTAATCATTGTTATTCGACTCAAATAATATCAAAACTGTAGCTATTAGCTGAGACCTTATAATACATCTAAAGAATGCTGTTACGTTTTTCTGAAAGCTGCTTGTAATTGAATAGTCTCATATTGTTATGATGAAGTTTAATACTAAAGAAGAGTTCTAGTAACAAAAACGAACGATAATTGAATCGTTTAATAATATGCAGGAATAAATCTTGTTTTTATTGAATGCTATAGTTTAGTTTTTCAACAATCATTGAAAAATAGTTTTTATGAAATAGGTACATTTTCTGCTGATACTATGTTATACAGATCGAGAAAGTTGACGTGATGTTTTATATTTTTTAATCTGTACAAGACAATCATATTTCAATTTTTTATTGCATCTCTTTTAGTTTGTTTTCATTGGTGAAGTGTACATACAGAAAAGTTCTTTCGACAACACACTCAGATATACTCACTATGAGAGAATGACGAATATTTTGTTTGATATCAGGAATCCAATAGATCCTTTCTCTAGAAAACAATGATAAAAATATCGAATGAGAAAATATGAAACTGACTGTTAACTATACGGATTGTACAAAACTTTCATTTGTCCTATGGTGTTCCACTTGCTCGTTTCATCGTCATCTTAGAAACTAAATAAAGATGTATGGCTTTGTAGACATTTTCGTCTTGTTTCAATTTAGCCTCAATATGTATGGACCTTTGGTTCTCATTTTTATCTGCCTTACAACAATATAATTTGAGCATGTTTATGGCGTTTTTGTAGTGTGTCTGTTCCTCTCGTTTCCTTCGTCGGCAATAAGAGTAATCGTATTTAACAAATGGTAATAAATTATTCATCATCTACAATCATACATACATTTATTGAGCTTCTAAATGACAATTATTCTTCTATTTGCTGACGTACTAATTTTATTTTTTATTCTGCAATTTTCTGTTAAAAAAATATTTGACTACGACGATGCATTTGATTTTGTTGATGAAATGAGTGTTTACTTTTGATAGATTGCGCATCAGTCATGAGTTCCAGCAGTGACATCATATTGCTCGCATTTTAGTGATACTTTCTTCATTTCTTCTTCTCATCTTTCTCATATCAAACTCTCACTTTCACATTTATTGCCACGAGCGAACATTTAGAGTGAATATGAGCCTTCTACTGACTCGCATCGATTGTCTTTTTGCATCATTATAAATATTTAAGATGAGCAAGTGAAAAGTTTACCAAGCCATTTTATAATATTGGTTATGACTTTTTCTTTCGTTTCTCTTCTTGTATCCAAAGTAATCGAACACAACGGAAAAAAATTCTTTTTTTTCCGTTCATTATAGCGTATTCAATGAAAACAAAACTTTTTATCAACACTTTTTTTTTTCAAGTAGTAATTTTTCATCATGGGTGGGCTCACATTCGCAACAAAACATATATAAACTGTTAAAATTGTTTGATATCTCTGAAAAAACTGCGTTTAAAGAGTCACAGACATTTACAATTTATCCGTTTGAACAGTGACAATATGTTAAGCAACTAGACGTTTTTATAACTAGTTTGAGTAAGTTTTCAAGAATATATCATACTGTTTAAACAGTAATTATTTGGAAAAGCTTTTTATCGTTTTCACAATTGATGTTTCAAGAAGAAGATGTTTGACTGAGTAATTCAAACAGTCTCAATGATAATGCATAGTTTTCACATATCATTCTAAATGAAACATCTAGTGAGCAGAACCAATCCTAATTTCGTCGGGTTTTGTCGAAAATCGGTGATTGGACGATTTGACACTGTCTGTTTTGAGATCTAAGAGATATTCCATCATTTCCACTGACTAGTTTTAATCACAATCGATCTTTTCTTATTCTGGAAGTTTTTCTGCTGCATTTTCTGTCTGGAACAGAATCAAGTTACTTATGAATTTTTGTGCTTATTTTATTTCGTTTCAAAGATGTAGTACTTTATCGCTTAAAAATTTTCTTTTCTAGAACAAAGAAAGGTGTTTCAAAAAAGATCACAATGACGATTGCAGCCAAATAGCTGAAGAACAGTGTAGACATATAACTGTTGACAAAGGTCATTGGTTGATAGTACACAGGAATTGATTGATTGAATACAGTAACAAAGATAACTGTCATATGAACCAAATAAGCAGCATAATTCAAACGTGCTAATGGTGTCCAAATGGAAAAAGATAATATTCGATTGACAATACCACCTTGATTGGTGCTACACAAAAAAATGAGCCACGAAATCGAGATCGACCAAGCGGGTCGAGATAGACTTTGGTAGGTGATGAGTGTGGCTCGATTAAGACCGGGTACTAGTATATAATCGCCATAGATCGAAAAGATACAAGCCAAGGCAAGTACAATAGCAAAAAGATTTCCAATGAGTCGAACGTAACTATTCAAACGATAGGTACGATCCGTATTGACAACAAGAAATCCGGTGAAAAGTCCAATAGCATAGGGTGAAATACGACACCACGGTGTTACGTAGATTTTCTCGAAGAAATTTGGACCCGTCTAAAAGCGAGCAGCAAAATATTTCAAGTCTCAGAGAAATCATTAGAACACATTGTCGATTCACTTACCGCATTGCTTGACATATCAAAAATACTTGTGCCCATACTTGGATAATAGAGAAGAAGACCAAGAATCGATCCAATACTGACAAATATGAATAGTATTGTCATTATGTATCCAATAACTTTTTGTCTCATTACAAATGGAATTAATGCTAGCGGAGCAATCCAATGAAATTGCATGTCATTGAAAAGATACCATGTTACACTGAGACACATATTCTCTGATTTGAAAAAATTTCCGATGTACAAAAATGAAGTCCACCAAGAACCATTACGACAACCGGCCGATTCGAATCCTTGTTGAATAGGATAAAGAGGTCCACGACCGAAGTAGGGCGTCAAGTAAATACTGACAAACATGACCAAAATAAAAGTCGGTGTCAAACGAAGATATCGATGAATATAGTAGAGAATCATCAATCGTAACGAGAGTTGTTTCTTTCTTACTTGCCGAACGAAAATAACTGCAGTTAAAAAGCCACTCAGAAGAAAAAATGTGTCAACGCTGAAAATACCACTAGTAATTAATTGAAATGCAAAATTGCGCAAGACAGTAAGCATATCAATGATATTCGATGTGTAAAACAAGCCGAAAAGAAACGTATGACCAAGGATAACCCAGAAGAGAGAAAGAACACGAATACCATTGAGAAATGCGAACGAGTTCTCGTTCTCTTTTTTGTTTATTGTAAAAATATGTCGTAGTGTGCGAATGGCTGAAAATTCTCCAATAAATACAATGATAGGCATTTTTTGGGTCAAAGATTGTAATGATTGATCAGTTACTGTGTGTGATACATACTTATTTGAAATTTCATCCGATAAATCTTCATATCCGTTAATAGGTAACTTTTCATTCTCGTTCCACTTGATATATATATGAATAGCAAGATCAGTGATTGTTCCAATCAGCACAAGTAGAGCCAAGAATGATAGAACGATACTAAAGGCAATAGTACCAGACGAAAGACCATTCTGTTCATTGGAACGATCATTTGAACACTGTAAATAATCTTTAGTCAAATTATGCACTTTGAATATCTCACGTATGAGTGTGACAATTGATTGACGAGTACAAGATGCTGGCAGACAAAGGCCAAGTACCAAACTAAATCCCATCACAAATTGTGGGTTAATGGGACTGGATTGGAGGGCACCTAAAGAAAACAAATTTAATTCTCTAAATAAGTGGCGAAGAATATCGACATACAATATTGAGTGTCAATTGGTTGTCGAACAAAAGATTTATTGTTTATTTGATAGAGTGGATTAATACATTCATCATAATTACCTATCCAATACATATTTCCGTTCAATAGACCCGATGGTAGTGGTTTGCCCCAAGCATCGAACACTTTCATTGCCCATAATTGACGTTGAAATGCAGCAGTTTTTAATATTTCCAAATCTCGTTCACAAGTAGTACTCTGATTGTTTGAAAATGATATGTTAGTTAAGAGTAGCTCCGGTCGAATTGTTACAATGGGCGTATTTACCAGATCGTTGGCAACATCTGGATAATGCTGATAAAAATCGCGCAATCGTTGGATAATTGCATCGAAGCGTAATGGAATTGTTTCGAATTCTGGTTCACCAATGATCGATTGTGGTACGAAAAGAAGTAAAACGAATACTAGAGCAGCAAACATCATAATTATATCAATGATATTGAAACACGAGTTACGAGCAAAGAATGATGAAAAACGACAAACTAAGAACAAACTTATATCAGCCTATAGAGTGTTGCTCATTTGATAACATTATTATTGACCGAATGACGTTTATTTAGAAATGAATTTATCGTTTGTTGTCGTTTATCTTTCATTACTTTACGTTGGATGGTGTGCACACACAACAGCTCTTATCACACATAATAAAAACAATGTTTTGTTTGAATTCAGGTGACTTCTAGTCAGGGATGGCCCGAGTCAACCAACAATGGGGGGGTGTCGCGAAATTTTTTGCAGTAAAAGGTGGAATTTTTTAATTTTGGGGGGGTGTAACATTATTTTTCATGACAAATGGAAGAAAATTTTTTGATTTTGCTGAGCAAAAAATAGAATTTTTCTAAGATTGGGGGGGGTGTTCCACCCCCGACACCCCCCCGGTCGGGCCACCCCTGCTTCTAGTATCAGCCACAGAGTAACAATTAATCTGAAACAGAAGATGCAGTACGACCGGATCGACTCAAAGTCAGATTGTCCTAAGTTTCGAACCAGAAGATGGAGATATAAGTTCTTTTCAATATCTTTCTATTACTTCTTGCATATCGGAATCTTGATTACTTATTGGCTGAAAAGAGGCTAACTTGAGAAGTGAACAAGCAATTGGATATTCATTTGAGAAATGATTCTACAAGAAAATCAGATTATTATCAACATCCAACGAGTACATTTCGACATTGACCAGTCGATGTCACGCTTATGTCAAATAGAAAATAGAACAGTAGTGACAAACATGAAAAATGCAAATGTGAGTCAAACAAAAATCACTATCTGTGTGCAATAGGATTTATGAGTAAGCATCAAAATAGGTATTTAAAACAGAGTCCCTATAATTGATAATCACTATATCTGGTGAATTGTTCTGATTAAAATTGTCTGTTTGTACTCAGAAAAATGTTGGATTAATTCTTTCGCTGTCACAGATGTCAAAAACGCACTTCTTAAGTCTAACAGTTAGTTTTCAAAAATTTCATTACTCGAATTTATTCAAAATGAAAATTCGCGAGTCACATTTATAATTATCAATATGTTGTACGTATCGATACATTCGACATTCATCAAATGAGCTTCATATGTTATGTTAGAGTTGATAGTTTCATCTTTTTGTTGTTGATAATGATGAGAGAAGTATCGGCAAATGTTAATTTTCATATAATCAGTAATTTTTGTAAAGTTCAGGGCTAACTCTTATACAATGAAGAACATATTCAAGTACATGAATAGGTGTTTATTCAGAATCGGAACATTGAGTTTTATAACGAAAAGAAATAACAACCGATGCGAAAAAGAAAACTTTCTATCATATGGAACTAAAGTTGAAGATACCATGAAATCAGTCAAAATGCATGAATCTATGTATTGTTTTGTATCATCATTAAATTTAACGAACAACGAAAAATAAATTATTTATTGAATCAATTGAAAATCAGAGCAGCAGTTCTGTTCCATGCTATTTGTTAGCAGCAAATTGATAGATATTTCTATGCAGATAAGTATTCTCATTTTTCTGTTATATCTATTCCTCTATTACTAGCTCATATTTACCAATATTTGTACTGCATCAATAGGCAACTCGGATGGTAGATAACAATGAGCTACTGAAGCAATGTTCAGGCTCTACTTTTAGTACAAGACTGTACGATTCGAAACAGTTCTGATGATGATGTACAAGTTTGTACAGTCTATCGAAAGCGCCTCGATGAAGTCAAAAACAATAGTGCTCGTCATCACCAAGTGATCTCTCCTAATGTCAAATGCATCGTGTCGAGTTCAAAATTGTCAGCTTAGACTCATTTGAAACCATCTTGCCAACCAAACCAATGAAGTTACTCGAGTTGATAGCACACAAAGAGAACTCAAAAAACAAAACATTCAACGTTGTAAGTACCATCAACAATAAATACAATCAGTTTATCATACGTAACAGTTAAACAGAAATGCCTATATATATTTTTTTTCAAATAATCTTAACCAGCCAATCTATTTTCGATTAGCTTACTATTTTAGTGTGTCGGTCCATCAGTAATTTTCTTTTCGATAAATTGCTCATCTCGGAACTATAATGTTTCGAACATTTCCATACACGAATTCAATCAATTTTGGATGTGAATAGATGTATTCTTTTCAACCATACTCACAGCTGCGTCTTCTTCAACAAATCTAGTCTTTTCCATTGCTTTTGTATACAGCGCGATTACACGGTGAAATCAACTAAAGAATGTAAAGATTCTCTTTTTTCATGCTCTTTTACAGAACAATTAAACTTTTGTATTATTATAATGTTATAAAGTCACAGTTCATTGTGTGAACTATCTCACATTATGGAATAAAGAACATACAATAAGGAGCAAGTAGATGCTCTTCTTCGTCGAATAAAGGGTAGGGTGAAACATCATAGCCATCACAACCGCCATTAATGTCAATGGCAAAATGAACATTATCATATATTTCTGCTATCTGTCGATTTCTACTGGTCAATGTGAATGCAGGAAACATCACGAAGTTGCCTGCTGAAACACAAGCCAATACTTTTTCGATCAGATCATTACTAAGGTTGTACCCCCGATAGACAGTCATTTTGCCATTGATATATTCTCCTAAGTAGTACAGAAGAAGAGAGAAAGGACCAAAAGTGACCACTTTATTCATCCATAACTGCTCATCATCTTCGTCACCTTCAAGCGGCTTGTATTCATTCAATTTCTTATAGAGAAATAATTCCATAGTGTAAAGACGTGCGCATACACACCAAACTTCAGTTGATGTTCCGTCAATGGCATTAAGAAGCTGATGGACCATCCCCATTTTATCTCACATTGTTTTGCTATCTTCTTCCCTTCTATAATGATGCCTTCCACTGCTTTTTTCATCATCAATCGACAATTTTCTGCGGTATGTAATCAGCTATTTACATGCGTATAGCCAAAACCAGGTAGATTGAAAAGCGGATGGGTTGCCCTATGAAAGTCTTCTAGAGAAGGATGTCCAAAAGAAGCTGAAGGATTGATAAGATTGGCCAAGAAACATTCCTCTCTTAGTTTTCGGGGAATTTGTTTTGAAATGCTTCTTTAATGATCACTGTTTCCATGTCTGAGTAGGGACAACATTCAGCGGAATCAGACAATCAAGGATCAGCATTTGATTTCCAGACCCACTGGATTCAAGATTGCGACGATGAAGTCAACATTTCTGAACAAAATGAAATGTATTCAGTTCTCTACAACATTGTATCATGAAATATAATTAAAATGTAAATTCTGCCAGATTTGGTGACTCACATCTAACTAGAAAATTATATATGATTTTATAGAGCAATTGACAGCATATCGGATTATATTGAATTCTTTTATACTTCAAGCAATCCAGATCTATGGCATATGATTGTGCTTTCAAGGGATGTACTCAATTCAAAAATCGAACGTTTAGTAAAACGTAAAGATATACAATAAATATTATTCTACCTGTAAGAAGCTCATCTCATAGGTGACTCAAAGAATAGACCTTTCAGTATTTTGCGTATTCCTTGATAGTATTAAAACATGAAGTGGAGATTTTTTTTTCTTAAAATACATCTTTTAGTTCTCTAGAATCCTATATATTTCAACTGATTCGATTAGGATTCGTTACTTTGGCATTGATGATGAAGCAGGTATGTGTAAAATCTTCCACTTTCAAAATCAAACTTTTGTCAATTTTTATTCTATGCAGTTTAGTTTTTGCATGAGTCATTTCTCAGTGTCTCAATTAGTTTGAATCAACGAACGATAAAAAAAGTCACTAATGAAGTATTTCTAAATTTCAAAATTGATCTATTTGTTTCTGAGTAAATATTATTGTTAATAGACAGAAATGTTTGCTAATAGTATTGCTATTTATATGTGAAATTGTCGATGCAGTTCTATCATAATTTCTGGAAACCTTCATAAATTTGAGCAGATGAATATCGCAGCTGCAGAGTTTATACATTAACGAAAACAGGATTGCATACTGAGCTTTTACCGATCATCTTTAGAAATTCTGGAAAGTTCTGAGAAATCTAAACGAAGCCATAGTAACAATTTCACATATGAATAGCAATGGTGTTAACTTACATGTTCGTGCATTTACAATAATGTTTATTCAGAAACAAATAAATCAACTTTTGAAATTTCAAAATATTTCATTAGTGGTTTCTTTTTAATTGCTTGTTGGTTCAAAGCAATAATTGACTGAAAAAAACAACTTATTCAGGAATTAAAGCTCATAGGATAAACATTAACAAAAAACAATTGGTTTTGAAATTGGTAGATTTTAGACATGTTTGTTTCATCGTCAATTCCAAAGTAAAGAATCCTAATCGAATCAGTTGAAATATGTAAGATTTTAGCGACTTAAAAAACGCATCTATAAAAAAATCACTTGTTTCTGTTTTAATACTATCACTGAATATGCCAAATGCTTAGAAATTCATTCTTTGTGGACAACCTGTCAGCTATTGCACGTTCTCTGGCAGTAAGATATATAAAGATTATTTCACCGATTTCGACCCACTTCGAAGTTTTTTCGTATTTTTCGAAAATACAAAGTTTGGCATACATAGAACATATAAACTATCATTCAAGATTTACTACACTTAATTGACATTATTATCAAGGAAACGAGTTATTAAAAATTATACCAAAGTATTTTTATTAAATTTATTTTCTATTTTTTTTGAGCATGAGAAAAATATCAGTGGTGCACTTACTGCGAGCCATTTTTTTTTCATTGTGTTCTTATGAAGTCTAATGCTAAAATACGTTTAACAGTCCATTTCTTTGGTTAGAACAAAAAAAACACAAGAAAAAGAATGAAAAATAAATCTAATACAATTGTTTTAACATTTTGACTAATAACGTAATTTCTTGAGCAACATGTCGATCAAGTGAAATAAATTTTGTAAATAATAGCTTAGATCTTATACTTTTAAACGTACATTTTTTATGTCTCTTAAACTTTGTTAATTCGAAGGGTATAAGTGTGGGTGTAGTAATTAGACTTCTGCGTGACCACGATTTTTCAGTCACGTCACGTCACGGTCACGAGCTGCTTGGTCACGGTCACGTTCATAGTCACGAAGATTTTTCGAAACTAGTCACGATCACGTCACGGTCACGAGCTAGCTGGTCACGGTCACGTTCATAGTCACGGAAATTTTTCGAAACTAGTCACGGTCACGTCACGGCCACGGAAATTTTGGATTACTAGCTGGATTTTTGTGCTACAAAATCAAGATTTAAATTGATTTCGTAGATTTTTCCTGTAACAAAACAAAGAAAACCCATAAATCAATTAAAATCTTGATTTTTTTTCACAAAAATCAGACTTTTAGTATCAAAATTTTCCACTGTTAAGTCACGGTCACGAGCCATTTGGTCACGGTCACGAGCCATTTGGTCACGGTCACGAGCTATTTAGTCACGGTCACGATCCCAGTCACGCCAATTTTTCGAAAATTAGTCACGGTCACGGTCACGAGACGTCGTGACCGTGACCGTGACCGTGACCGTGACCATTTTGCAGAAGTCTAGTAGTAATGGATACAACACACCCACACCTACACCCTCACACCCACACCTACACCCTCACACCC